AGAATTCGACTAGCTGTCCTCCCTTCAAGCTTCAACGTGAGTAATTCGAGAGTAGCTTTTCTCTTCTGATTTTTAAAAAAACGTATTAATTGATTATTTAGTGTATAAACGAATTTTCTCAGCAAGTTGAGTCGATTTCAAGACATGCAATGTTCATAATTCCAGTAAAATAATCTTACGTTAACTAGCGCAAAAGAAATTGTTAAAGGTTTTTAACTTGATTTATGAATTTCAAATGAGCTTGTGAAATAACGGCCTTGTCGTCTTTCCAAGTTATATGCTCAGTGGAAAAGGAGAGATGTTATAGGTCATTCAACAGCTAAAGAACCGAATGATGGCTCCAGCTTATTTAATTTCAACTTCATAAAAGTAGACTTATTTCACAAAATGACATGAATTTAAACTGCACATATGATAATTCCAAAACATTGACAGTTAAAATTTGACAAATATTTATTTCAAATTGCGGGCTTTATAATACTTACCATTTGCCCTTTAGCTGACTTCGGGCTTCACAGAGGGAAGGAGGAACATCAAAGTTGGCTTCACAGAGGGAAGGAGGAACATCAAAGTGAGAAAAAAGTGAAGAGGGGGGACAGAGGAGTGATTCAAATATGTAAAAGAGTCAGACAGACACAGAGGCAGAGAAAAGGCAGGATAAGTATGGTGGAAGTGATCGAATAAGACATACAGTGGGATCATGGTAGTTTGAAGTCAGAAGTCGACTGCCAGTTTAAGTTTGAAGTCAGAAGTCGACTGCCAGTTAATAGACTTTTTTGCCGTATGAGAATACGTTGCTCAGGATGCACCACGTGGAGGTAAGTCTATCGCACACCCAATATGGCAAATATAAAATGCTTCGAAGATAAGATCAATTAAACCGAAATTTGATTCAGTGGTTGCCGGTGGAACTAATCAACTGTCTTGGTTAATCAATTTCCGACTGTGTTGGTTGTTCTCATATATCTACACCCTCAGTCCTCCAGATACGGGCTGCTTTAGTCAAAATATCCTAGACTTGAGAGTTTGGCCAATTTTGTATTTGAAATATCTTAAAATAGAGGATATAGAGAAAACGAGCTTCTTCAACTCTCCAGTGCAGTGATAGCAAGCTTAATGTTAGGCTCATATCAGGGTTATATCGAGTTTTAGCAAAATTTCTGATACCCTCTCGGTTTATTCGCAGTTTACTTAATCATATCCACTGAAGTCGATAATTCGGTGCAAACGAGACTTCAGTCAGCTGGCGTAATCATTCCATTTATTCAGCCTTTGGCAGAATTTCGGACGAATGAAGATTTGTTTGATTTCATTTGTTTTTTAATCTTAATTGTTGATACAATTTTGAGCATTCATAAACGTGTATACCGCATTATTGTAGTTCTCTATCTTCCTAATATGCTTATTCAGTTGATCTTTAAATTTGCTATATTGCGTCATTTTTTAATAGTGGTTAAAAGTACAAAAGTTTCTGGCTTATTTAACCATGTAACATTGGCAAAAAAGTGGTTTGTTGTAGTTAAAATTCAGTTATCTAAACTAAAGACTTATAGGATTTCCTAGGGTCATTCTTTGAGCATTTCTGTGTGAAAGTTGTTTTAGGCTTTAGCGCTTACTTTAACTGAGAGTCATCACATCGTTATGCCACCCGCATGACGGAATCGCAGCTTCTGGATATCGATTATCAATTTTCAATATCCTCTCTCTTGACTACTGTTTATTTTGCCAGTGGACTCACACTTTCGGTAACTTGAAGACTCGTGGTTCAAATTCTCAGCCTTCACCAACTCTTTCGATCTTTGTCATATTTTTTATCAGATTTACCTCTTTTTTGTTTCCCTTCCTTGAAAGGCATGGTTTTGCCAATTACTGAATTGATATATAGGGAAAAGTACAAGTATTTTAATTTGATCAGAGAAGTCATATTTGAAAAATCTTGAATTTACGTCACTGAATATTATAGAACTGGAAGTTGCGAGTTTATTATAGATATTAATTAAATTAGGACTGGATTGATGATTTGCAAAAAAATTAAAATCTGTTCCAGAGACGTGACAATCAGCAAGGCTTCAGTGTTTCCAATTTCCAAGCGGTTTGTACCATAAGATAGTAAGGTCGCATATAATTCATTTCCAAAATTAAAGAAACAAAACTCCCACGCTCCATTGACCAAATTTACCCTTGGCTACCCCACATCATACCCTTATTATCGCTTGTCCAACCAGTTAAGCAAAATTAAATTCAGTAATTTTTCACTGAAATAACTTGCAAGGAAATTTGTATCAATGAATTGCTTGAAAACATTTAGTTAGCCGCTCATTTTGAATTTTTTATTTATGCGAAGCTATTGACTACCCAGCCAACTGTCACACCAGCCATATGCATGTTAATAAAACGAAGTTATTGTGCATCGTATCTAATCTCATCAATAAAGATAAATATTCTTTTGTCTCTTCTCTCTCGACGACGATTTTTGACTTATTCCTGTAATTGCATAAAAATTTCCTAGAGCACTCCATTCTTATGAGACACAGTCACTGCAATCTATTAAATCCTTGGGATCCTGTGAAGAGGTCATTTGGAAAGCATTCTACCAAGAACTTAAAGAAGGAGGAATTACCAGGTACAGAATGAATAGATAAAGTCAAAGTTTATTTATTTTACTTTCCACCCAACTTTGGGCCATTGATCTCATGGCTCAATTATTAATGCATTATAATATGATTATAAGTAGCCAATAGAAAATGATGAGGAGAAAGAGGTTGTGTGCTTGTTACTGCCAAATGCTTTTCCAATCCAATGCCGTATCTTAGTACTTGTGATTGTCCCCCTAATAAAAACGCTGGCTACTAAAAAGGACTGCCTACACCAGAGTCACTTGGTAGACACGATATTGACACCCCTATCTCATCTGCCAAGCATACCCATTTATGATTGAACCATTTTTACTACTCATATCAAATAATCTGAAAATAAAAGTGAAAATAAAATTTAAGTAATTACTCCAATAAAATTAATTCTGATTTGCTTTTACTATCTATAGAATGGATTCGAATTAATCGTTGAAATTTGGGACCGATAAATCATGAATGGAAACGAAGTGCACATTGTGAAACCAAAGAAATCAACTATATGACTGCCATCCAGTCGAGTTTCCATCCATGCTGTCCCCAATACTCTCAAACAATTGAGACGCCATGCACGATGAAATCATCTTAAGATTGAAGAATGAACGTCTCTTGCTTAAGTGAAATGAAAATAATGGAATTAATAGTGCGATTATTTTGTTAAATTTTTGCAATACTCGCCGTAGAGAATATTATATTTCTGAGTTCTACAAAATTAAAATAGTATTAAATATTATTATGTCAACTTAAACACAAAAACCATACGAAGGTTTGGAAGCCATTGATCGATCTCTCGCAACTAGACGACTTCAAATTAAAAGTGAAAAACGAGATTTGTTAGTTGTCAGTAGCTGCGAAAACTAGACCCACTTGTATTGAAAGCTAAGCACAAAACGATTGTTTTTAAAAAATGAAAGGCTCTTTTATGACAGGGAAGTCTTGGCTTAAAGACCGAAATTTCGCCGTTTGCCACTTTCTCTCTCCCCTCGGTAAATGTCATATTGGAAGCGACATTCTATCTTAGATGCAACTTTTTGTTTAAATAGACTGAGAATTAATTCTGTATAACTGTTAAGAAAATAACACAGTTAACGAAAGGATAAACTAAACAGTCGCTATCAGTTTTGGAGAGAAGATATTTTCAATTTGATTCTTTCTACGTTTGGGGTAGTAGAATTCTCGTGTATTGTGGGTGAAGAAAACAGCCACTTCTAACGTGAAATGGAAATTTTAGATGAATTTAGCTGTTCTCAACTAATCTACACTTTTCAATATTATTTCTGTGATTCTACTAACGCAATTTAAATCGATTCCGAAGAATACCATTAAACAAATTACTTATCAAATAATTAATCAGTTACTTCCAGTCGACATAACTAACCATACTGAAATGTACCAATTAAAAATGTGTTTAAAATCTAAACTACTTGCACCAAATATCAAAATTAATATTCGCGGTTCATAAATAATAGATGGAAAAATTGTTTAGATTAGACGTCTTACAAAAATCCCACATATTGCAACGCTTTTTCCTTAACGAAGACTCCAAGAGCGTTTCTGATTGGCAGACCTCAATGGCACATATTATGTAAGTTTCGCTAAGTTTTTCTCCAAATTTCACAAGTCGATTCATGATTTAAAGGCTCGATTAACAAACTTTAGGTGTGATAAACAATGAAACCGGAAAGATTCATTAAAAAGATTGCATTCCGGTTTGAGCGCCAGTGAGACAGTCGAGGCCTAAACAAAAATAGCGTCATTAATTTTATTCGTAAAAGTCCATGGAAGAATTATTTACTGCGTATGACCCAGAAATCAAGAGGAGAATTCGACATAAAGATTTTACGAAACCTACACAATTGAGATTTTTATTGACAAGTTGTAAGGCAGAATTCGTAACTACTACAATATGCGCGTTGTAAAACAAAGTTGGAGAGGAAAAACGTGGAACAAAGAGATGGGGAGAAAAGAAAGAAGAAAGAGTTGGAATTGTTTGACCAGCACATCAAGAGCATACTGAGCATTATAAAGTTTTATAGCCGTCGCGGTGGATCTAGTTTCATTCTAAAATTAAAAAGAATACAGAAGATTAGAAACATTGTGAAAGTTAATTGTTAAACTATTAATCAAATAGTTCAAATAACCTATGCAGCTTATTCTATGGTAAGAGTCATTAGCCTAATTGACCAAATTAATTGTTTTAAACTGTTAGCGAACGCAAAATTCGTCAACTAAATTCTCAGCCGAAAACACGTGAGGAAAAATATCGATTTTTAGGGAGCGATTAATAAAACTTACCAGTTAAACAGACAAACCAAGTACAGTCATGCACGCAGATAGACAAACAGGCATTAGTCATCATGGGAAATCGATTTAATGGGACGTAGTAAGAGTATGGCGCTTTCTTCGCTTCTCTAAGGCTTTTGTGATGGCCATTACGGTGGACGTAAAAGTTCCCAAAATGCCAAATGTAATTAAGAGGGCCAATCCAGCATGTATCCCAGCATTAAAACTGGAGGTGTCATAGAAAATATACTTGTCCTTATTAGCCATACCCTCCTCAAGGGTAATGGCAGAGATCATATGAGTTAGAGCAATAATGAGGAGACAGATAGATGGAAGAATGTACGACATTATTAACGCACACACAGATCGAGTGACTGCGAGATTATGCTACCCTAGCAACTACTAGTCTGTATTTAGGGTGCGACGGACAAGAAAAGCAATGCGATGATCCTATTGGTCAGGGTACCATTTTGATTGGCTCAAGGATAGCCAATCACGTAAGTTAAATGGCAAAATATCTCGCATGCCTACCTTGCTATTTGGCTAGCTGTGGCTATTTTGGTGCTGTGTGACGACTCACTTAGAAATGCTTCTTATAAATAGGTAGCCTGTTTTTATGCAGTACTGCAATGCCAATATTTCAAATAATGGGATAGATGCTGGATTATATCAAGTTAAATATATTTAAAAAATATAAATGATGAAGTAAACATAAATATGGAGTGATTTGTGAACAATGTACATAAGTTATAAAGGTGCGATATACAATCTTTGCAGAATCAATGGTAAAATACTAATTTATATAAAACGGAAGGTAGATTAAGTCCAATAGGAATTTTGGTGAATAGTTAGAATTGCAAATTCTGTTCACTTTGAACGTCAAAAGTCACTATTTGAACAAAGACAAAAAGGCTACTTTAATAAATAAGTAGCACAAAAACAATATTTCAAGGAAATTGTGAAATACATTTTTAATTATATATCAGTTGGAAATCGTTGGCATCATGCAAATTTATTTTTATTAATTAAGGCCAATTATTAATCGAAAATTTTACATTGAACCTACGCTATGATTAAATCTTAAAATTACAAACCATTAATTTCTACGCCCGGTCACTTTTATGAATAAACATAAATTTTCGGAATTTAGATTAATAAAGTTATATAAGAAAAAATGAAGTTAAATATTCATTTTAAAAAGATTAATTATCAAAAAGCATTGGAAGGGAAGGTAATACAAACGCTATCCACACTTAAATGCTTCATTCGTTTCGTGATGGGTATAAATGACGGTGTTACATATATGCTTATCTTTGAGGACAGAGACTTGCTAATGTAAAATAAATGCTTTCATATAGTTTGATCGTCTATTCTATCAAACATTTCAAGATATCGATGTTCAACACTTCTTGACTCGTTTGGTCATAAAGTTTAAAAGTCAATTTAGTTTCTGTTCCAGGAGAATTTAGACATCTTAAAATCTGGACAAATATTTGAGCATAAAAGAACTAGTTTCTCAATTCGTGATTAACATGGTGGGAAATATTTCCTCCCATTTGAGTAGAAATATTATTGACTAATTATGGAAGAACGTTTCCAAAGTCAAGAGACTATCAAGAAATAGTAAAGTTTCCACAAAGCTTTGATGTTTATTGAAGTAATGCAGTAGATTCTGTTTTATATATGTTCCATTGAATCCGTTATTTGATTAAGGCAAGATAATAGTGACAACTAAACTGAAATGGAGTAAATAATTAACTAGATAGATATCAGCCAAGTGTTCTTTAAATTCATCTTTGAAACTGGCTTCAGAATTAATTGGGGGTATTTTTGGCAATTACCCAAAGTTGAAACAAAAGAACAACAAAAGAACAAAAAAATCAGCAAAGTCTGGATCACTGAAATGATTCACTGGAAATATTAACATTATTTCATTTAAACAAATCATGATGTCTAAATAAGAAAACGAATGATAAAATTGAATTGACCTGTAATCAATTCGAGTTAGAAGTGAACTGAAATTAAGTATAAAATTGAGGTAATCGATAAAGAATGAAGATTACTAAAACTGTGGTAGGATCAATCAAAACTCTAGCAAACATATAATATTCAAGCAAACCAGAAATCTTTCATCAGACTTACGATTTAGGTTCTTTCCCTCCTGCCTACCCACCCCAGTCGAATGAGTTGGTTAATGACAATAGAAGGCATAGTTGTCAGCGATGTGAGTAAACCAAATACAACTATACAAGCCATTGCTGCGTGTAATCCCTTATTGAAACTTGCCTGATGGTATTTAACTAGATTCGGATCGCCTAATTTGATAGCTTCTTGTAGAGTGAGTGCAGTTGTTGCTGTAACTAACGCATTACAAAAGAGAATGAAACTGATCATAGTTAGGCAGAGATCACACCTCTCGTTGTGTTTACTTTTATCAGATGCTTTAAGGTCTAGGTTGAAGTGCATTAAAGTAGCGAATGAGCGAAGTTCTTCACAAAGTCAGTCTTCATTCACTTATCCTAAATAACTTGCAAATATATCATAAAATATTTTTGCCTATACGCTGAGACAGGTGATTTCAATCTCAAACCGAAATATAAATTTGACAAACAGCGTTTTTATTTGGAAAACAAAAAATTGAGCGTTCATATGATGTGTTGATTTTGATTGCCTTATTTAATTATAAACATTTTAAAATTGCCCAAGTACAAGTTTCGTGCATTCATGAAGGCCAAATACTCGAAACCGTGAAGGAATGCTTTCCAAGAAGAAGTAAAGAGTACTAATTGGCTCAAAAATGCATAAAATTTAAGAAATTGTATTTTCTCAAATAGAATTCATTAAAATTATTTCAAGGTCTGCAGTTTGGCTGGATTATATTATTGAAATTAGTACAATCTGATAAACGCTTTTAAGTTTTTTGGAATAAAGAGATAAAAGACGTTCCTAAGAACATTTGCGCTGGATTAGGAGTTTGCAAGAAATATTTTGTGTAAAACGTGGTGTATAAAATTGATACACAACTATTCGCGTCAAGAAAATGGAAGTACAACAGCGAAGTGCACGACCACTGAAGTGATAAGAATTGTAGAAAGTAGGGCAACGTTTCTACAAAATGTTTCACAGTTTAGTTCGACCTAACCAATTTGTACCCCTAAATTTTAGACTTATTTAAAAGGGCAAAAAATCACCTAGAAGGTATCGGAATAAAAATCCTCTGATTTTCAATAATCAACTTTTTAATTCTAGTTTTTGCTCAGGAAAACGCATCTGCTTATTAAATAGTCTAAGGCTCATTACAATTTAATTCAATTAAATGGCAAATTTGTTAAAATGGCTTCTACAGCAGCTTTCCTAATTAATTACTTTTAAAACAGAAGTATATTTTGTAAAGCCTTATTTTTGCTGTGAATCGCAAAACTCTCTACAATTTTTGAACCTGAGTATTTAGGAAGTCGTGCTCAGAGAATATGGGAATTCTGGGAACGCATACCGAGATTTACGTGATATTCAATTCATAAAGGGGTTTCATTTTTATTTTTTCCTTTAATGGTGTATTAGTGAAAATTTGATACTATTACAGATGATAAAGCCACCATGCCATGTATGCAATGACGCTTGTTAGAATTGAAAGCATATGACTGGCCTCTAGTAACGCCTTAAGAAATTCAATTCAGAAAAAACATGAGCTTTTCTTGACGTCTACGGTAGGCCCAAATACTTTTGTCTTTCTGAAATATATGCTTGGAGTTATACGGGGTGATGATCGTGCATATTGTTTAGGGAGTAACCTTATATGAATCCTCCATAAAGAAGGACAATTATCACTCACCACAGAAAAGGAGTCATATTATTAATTATCTCTGACGAAAACTCACATTCCGATGATCCTCTTTTGATGAATAATGGAGGTGTTTGTAACATTCAAAAATATGTACCAAACTCGTGCTTTCTGACTTCAAAAATTTGTTCCACGCGAGCAATTTTCGCCTCATAACCTTTAGTAAAAGTATGATATTCTTTTTTAACAAATGGAAAAAAATTTAATTTTAGATAGCTTTATGGATAGTAATTGTCATTAATTTTTCTACTTTGACATTTGAACTATTTTTAAACAAACTTTTATTTAATTTTATCTCTGAGCTATAAATTTTTGTCCGCTTTTGTAATGTTGAGTAAGGCCGTTTTCAGTTTCAATAGTTTGCTATATTTTAGAGTCCCTAACATTTTCTCATCTTCTTCAGATATATTGTCACCAAAAAGTAATTAATATTCATTTCATAAAAAGCCTGACTCTTGATTTAAAGTAATATTTGAAAAAATATTTTGAATGATATTTTGAAAAGTATGCATGCGTCGAATTTCAAAGATACGATCACACAATTAGTCCGAATTCTAGATAGAAAACCCACGAATACATTTCAGTGCGTCATTTTGGCCTCCAATCAGCTGTCACAAAAGTGGCCGAAATATACAAAAGTTGATCTCATAGTTTCTTAATTAAAAGGAATTCCTGGATTTAATAACGGTGCAATTAAATCAAATGACATGGTTTTTAATGCCGATTTATGTCTCTAAAGGGAAATTTTACAGCCCAAAATAACCTCCAAAAAATCTTGGTTGTTATATATTTATCTCAAGCCAAGGAGATAGTCCTTTAAAACTTGACCAATCTAAATAAGAAAAGTGTAACAAATTTCTTCCAATTTCTAGAACAGTTTGAAGGCCAACCTCAGAGAACTTCACGCACTACAGTAATGCAATTTAATGATGCTGAGTTTATGCGGTTGTTCAAAGAGGAGACAACGCACTACGACATCTCAAAGGCAAAGTGTTCAATAGATTTTAGACTTGTTTGAGTATTTTAAATCTCACAACTGGCAGTGGCGATAGAATTATTGGTTTTATATTGTCATTTTCGTAAATTTGAGATCCGAACCAAACTCTCTATGAGATATGAGTGTTTTTCGACTAAATACACTTACAATAAAGGTGGTTGATATCATTCAATTCATTTTAAGAGAAGCCCATATTCATCTTTCAATATTTCCTCCATGAAACTTTAAATTGCATGTGATTAGAGTTATTTTCACTTTATTATTGAAAGCTCCGTGTTTCGAAAACGTCGAGAATATTCTATTCTATAATTGCTCACATTTTGGCTGAAATTATACAAACTGTAAGGCTCAAGTATCGTAATTTTTGTGAAAAGGAATTTGTCTGAAGTAAAAAGTGCCAACAATATTCGAAAACAAAGCACAATTATTCATCATTGCATTCTGATTAAAAATTTAAATGCTGGCAAAAAATTCAGTCCTTTGTTTCATCGCATTCTTGTTCCCACGCTT